AAGGGTTATTCAAGATGAAAACCAAATCAAACAGGCGATCAAAACAATCTATCCCCCAAGCAAGCCCACCTAATCCTCTCCCTTCCCCTCCTACTTCCTTGCTGAGGTTACCCCCAGGCCTCGTGCAGGGAAGGATGGGGAGAGGAGAGGGCTTTCCCTCTGCAACCCGTAACTCCTCGGGGTCCGCTGCTTTGCTAGGACGACAGTGCTGTGGTGCCCAGGTCCGAAGCCTAGGAAAGCTGCAAAAGCCTTGGGTCTCCCTGCTCAAGTCCTCATCTCACAGGAGGGCTGCCAAGGGGAACGGGGAGAGGCGTGCCCCATGGCCCACCTCACAGTCCCCAGGGGACACTGGAGACCCAGGGCTGGGAGGATGCAGTCCCTGCAGCTCAGGGGCCTCATGTGGTGTGTTTTTTTTGTTTGTTTGTTTTCTGAGATGGAGTCTCACTCTGTCGCCCAGGAGGCCAGACAAGAGTGCAGTGGTGTGATCTCAGCTCACTGCAACCTGTGCTTCCCAGGTTCAAGGGATTCTCCTGCCTCAGCCTCCTGAGTAGCTGAGATTAGAGGTGCGCGCCACCACACCCAGCTAATTTTTGTATTTTTAGTAGAGACGACATTTCACCATGTTGCCCAGGCTGGTCTCACATACTCACCCTCAGGTGATCTGCCCACCTCGGCCTCCCAAAGTGCTGGGATTACAGGCGTGAGTCACCACACCCAGCCCTGAGCTCCTTTCACAACAACCCGGGGCCCTACTTTCCTGGCGTGGAGACAGCACTTCCTTTAACTTAATGTAACTGCAGGTTTGATTTCTAAATTCAGGTTTGTTTTCCTGTGGGAGGCGGACGTTTCTGCACTGCCCTGGGATGTATACAGCTGAACGCAGCTTTTCGGAACTGACTGTGGACCCCTGGAGGGCCTTGAACGTCGATGTCCATGGCCTGGCAGCTTCTGAATTGATGCATAATACGTGCCAGCTGCTCTTCTTCACCCTGTGGGAGGCCAGACGGCCTGTGGGGAGCGGGGCTGGATGACTGGGGTCTTACCCTGGCTTCGGTGTGTGTGTTGGGAGTGTGCGTATGAACTCTCACATACACACATACAATACATGAGAACATTTTAGAAGTTCTCTAGATTCCTTTGGATACCTTTGGGCCTCGTCATTTATTTCACTATGCTAAAAGGTCCTGACCACTGTCCTTATTAAAGAAGAAAGCCTTGTTTTCAAGCAGCTGGCCCAGTTAGGATCTCCATGAGGCCCGAGTCCCAGGGCAGGGCCGCCGGACCCTCACGGGGTCAGGGAAGGGACGGAGCTCAGATTCTGGGCGGTGAGGCCGCCTCCACAGGTGGCCTTCGTTTCTCACCCCACTTCTTCCACCGCCATTTCCTCCTTCCTCCCCTTTCCCCACCAGCTTCCTTTGGATGCAGAGGTCACGGTTCTCTGGGAGCCTGTTAGGCACCTGTGCTGTGTCCTCCCAGTATACACTCAGCAAATCGCACCATCTCCATCTTATGGATGAGGAAACTGAGGCTCAGGTAAGCAACGGGACTCATCCCAGATCCCCTGAGAAGCATATGATTAGGACAGCCTTGGGAAGCTGAGCAGAAGCAAGAGGTGGTTCTGCCTTCCCAGAGGTGGCCAGGAGGTACTGGGGCTGGCAGGGCCACTGAGGGGATGGGGGCTTCACCTCCTGGGGCCAGCTACAGATGGGACAGGAGAGATGGGCTACGTCCAGCTGGAGGGAGGAGGAGGACGGAGGGAGGTGGGCAGATATGGATTGTTGTGGGCCCAGAAGAGGGTGACCAGCCCCAGGCTCAGTCCCCGGCCCATCAGGTCAAGGAGAGGCCCCATGCTAGAAAGAACCACGCCTGGATTCAGGAGCCCTGGGCCTGGGGCTCCTTCCTGGCCTATGGTGGCGGGGCCTCAGCCACCCACGTGCATGCCCTGGCTGTATGCAGGGGCCTTGCCAGTGGTCAGCTGGACAATACTTTTGGGGTTTGTTTGCATCCCCCATTCTGAAGAGCCCCCGCCACCAGCCCCAGCTCTTTACACACACCTGCCTGCTGGCCACTGCAGGCTCCCAGACCGTCTCCGCCCTCCACAACCACCGTGAGGGCAAGCGGACAGGACACACCCTTCCTGGGAAGGGAGCCTGAGGTCACAGGTGACAGCAATGTCTGCAGGCCCCCAGGACTGTCTGCCCCGTAGGTCCGGGCACTGGAACTTCCGGTGCATAGGAATGAGGGCTGAGCCGTTTGCAGCGCAGACTTCCGGCCCCGCTACAGCCTGGCGGAACATTTGAAATGCACCGGGGAGCTCCCAGCCCCTGTCTGATGCCCAGAGAGCTTCCCTTTGAGCAACGTGGACTCGGTTCAAATCCCCGCAGTATCATGCAGACACAGAAGACCACAGAGGTACAGCCACTGATCTGTGGCCACACAGCCCATCAGGGGCAGAGTCAAGGCCAGAGGCCAGCCTGGGTGTCCCAGGCTCGGGGCGGTGAAGGGGAGAAACCAGGCCGCTGGGCTCCTCATGCCCCCTGTCTCTGAGGGCCAAGGAGGAAAAGATGAGAAATTCCCAGGATGAGAAATTCCCAGGCATGGGATCCGTCCGCCTAGTTCCCATCGGTCACAGGGTCTCCACGACGAACACCCACCGGGAGCCAGCTGCACCCCAGCCCCAGCGCCTCGCTGGTCACGTGGCCCCCTCCCATCCTCCCCACACAAGGGGACTCTTACTCACCATAGTCCTTCTTGCAGTACTTTTTCATGTTAATCTTCAGCTTCCCCTTGGAGGCCTTGCAGTAGGAATCGCAGTCTGCAGTGGGGTGGGGGGAGCACAGACAAAAACTAATTAGGCTGGCGATGAATAGGCTGGCGGGCAGAGTAGGAGGCCGCCTCCCTAAATAGCCAGAGGCCTGTGATACCCATGGGCCAGGCCAGGCGGGCAGACGGCCATTCAGGGCAGGACTGGGCTTCTAAAGAGGCCTGAGGGACAAAGGGCCCCCATCTGACCCACCCACCCCCTCCCTGGCCTGACGAATCCTTTAGCCACCGCCTGCAGCCGCCCTGGCCTCCGTGAGAGTCTCGGGGGGCTCCTGCCACCCAGGGCTTCTGAGCACCACACAGAATCTCCCTATTCTTAAGACGCAACTGGAGCCTGATTAAAGCCGATAGAGGCCTCATTGTCACCCCGCGCCCCGGGTCTGTGTCAGGCGCTGGCTTTCATGGCGCAGAGCCTCTGGCTGGGGTCAGGTCTCAACAAAAGAGGTCACGGGGGAAATTAGCAGCCCATGAAGCATTAGAAAACCCCTTTGGTGTCCACTCTACTGGAGTGTGCAAATAAAATGCCTGACGAAGACGAGTTCAGTTCTAATGGGCCCTACTGCTGAGAGGCAGGGCTGCTGGGCCTGCGTCCACTGGGTATCACTGGGCGATTCCAGGGCCCAGCCGAGAGCCAAGCAGGATGTGCGGGGCACCAGGGCCTGCCAGCCCTTGGGCCTGTGTCAACCCCCAAATGCAACTTCCTCACTTCAGCCCAACCATGGCCTTTCCCTGCCAGCCATCACTGTTCTTTGAACAAGGAGACACAATTCCTTCGCTAAGTCTGTGTGTGACAGCTTCACGTGACGGCACAGCCCATCGCAGAGGCCCAGCAAATCTCCCCCGGTCTGCCCTGCCCCGAGCACTCAGCAGGCAGGATCTCCTTCACTTCTCACAACCCTTCTTTGATGTGTAGGTATCATTCCCATTCTGCAGACAAGAAAACTGAGGCTCGAAGAGGGTAAGCCACCTGCCCAGTGCACGCCGGGTAGTTACTGTCAAGGCTGGCCTGAGATGCCGAGATCCCTGCACTCTTGGTTAGGCGATACTCTGACAGATTCCCCCTCAGTGTGAGCGGAGGTGAGCTCAGAGCCAGGGATGAGGAATGCCCTGTATTTTAGCAATTCCCAGACTGCCGAGGGGAAGACCAGCCAGGCTGGCCATGGGGAAGGAGTGCGGAGCTGCAGGGGGCCCAGCCTGTTCTAGAAGCAGTGGTGGCATGGGTTGGTAAGAAGTCGGCTGCGTGTGTGTCCTGGTGAGGGATCAAGAAAAGAGGACCAGGCGGGGAAAGATTCAACATACACGTGCACACACGGGCGGCTGCTCCAGGGGTAGGTGGCAGCCTCTGTCCCGCAGACGGAAAACCAAGGTCAAGGTAGGCGAGGAGTGATTTGTGTGGGAGCACAGGGGGAAGCACAAGCAGGAAAGCCGAGGCCTCCTGGTGCCGTCTGCACCCCAACCCAGGGCTTAGATCTACAGTGAGTGTTCAGGCAGCCCTCTCCAGATCTGGCCTCTAGCGGCTGCTGCCTCCATCAAGGTCCTGGGATACATTGACTGATGCCTCAATGAAGATCAATGCAGCTCCATCCCACTACCTTGGGGGCCATGGGTGTGGTAGCCTCCCCCTGCTTCCTGTGCCAGCCTCTTGGGGTCCCCACTTAGGAACCAGTCTGAGGAAATGGGAGAAAAACAGCCCTGCTTCCTGCTGCCGATGATCTAAGCCCTCGGAGCACCTTCATGACACCCCGGCTCCACGACGCTGGTGGCCACAGTACCCATCCCTTCTGCCATCTGGATGGCTGCTTGGTTGCTGGAGTAGGGATTTCTTGAGGTGCAGGGACTGGGCTGTCCAGAGAGAGTGGCCCTCACTCTACTGTGGCCAAGCCTGAGAGGTTGGATGAAAGTGACGGCAGCCCAAACACGCAAGTCAACGGCGCCATCAGCACCACCGGCACCGCGGCCGCACTTCCCTGTGGTGAACAGCCGCTCTGGGCCGCCTCTTTGCCAGCTCAGGGACAGATGACGCTCACAATGAAGCCACTGCTGGGGCTGAACCCAGGTTGTGCGTAAGTCCTGGCGATTCTGCGTGAGCTGGCTGAAATCCCTTCCTGCTTTCTCCACTTAGGGAAGCGCATTGGAATGCAAGCGGTGCCCAGTGACGTTCTCGCAGGGGCGGCCTTAAATCCATTCTCCTTGCCTTCTTATTTGATTGTATTATTGTCATTATTATTTTACAAAAGCCATCATCCCACACCAGCGCCTTCATTTCCAGTCAGGAGGAAATCCCTTTCACCTGCCTCCTCGCCATGGGCCAAGGCGCACCCCTTCATCTCAGCCTCGTAGACAGCACAGGCTGGGGCAGAGAGGGGGCCTTTGAGCACGTCAGCTCTTCCGAGCCTCAGGGATGTTTTGAGGGAGGGACTGCAGTGCCTGGCTTAGAACTGAGAGCGCAGAAAGGTTCCAGAGCAGGCTGCCCGAGGTAAGCTCCGCCCCAGGGGGGCAGCAGGGAGGCAGATGAGTCCTGGGACAGCCTGCCCCTGTCCCTTCGGCGTCACTGTCCCAGCCTAGAAACCTCTACAGCTCTTCTCTCCAGAGCCAAGTGTCTACCTGGGACAGAGACTGCCCTAGAATGCGTGGCATCCATCACTGCCTAATTAGATTGCACTCCCAGGCCCTGCTTGACAAATCACAGTCATCACCCATGAATATCCAGTGTGTACCTCACTAATGGCAGCGACTCCCACCATACTAATGAGGCGCTGGGCACTGTTCTCACGGTTGATGAACTCGTCTTGGCCCTTCAATCAGGCCCCATTTTCTAGATGAGAATCTAAGGCACGGAGATACTGGTGACTCACCAGCTCAAGGTCGTGTGCCCAGTGAGGCAGCCTGGCGGCCGAGCCCCTGCTCTTAACCTCCTGCTCCCAGTCCTGGCTATGCAGCGGCATCACGATGCCTGGGTCCCGCTCCCAGGACTTTCTGATTTCTTTGGTTAAGGGAGTGACCTGAGTGTCTGAATTTTTTTAATGTTCCCCAGATGGTTCTAAAGCACAGCCAGGGTTAGAACCACAGTCTGAACCAATTGTGAGAGATGGGGACAGTCTCTGCATCCATGATTAGCACTGAGCACCCAGTGTGGCAGAGAAAAGATCCAGATAAGGTGGCTGCTGAGTCCAACTGGAGAGTGCTCAGAGAGAACCTCAGGCTGCTTGCCCTTACAGAAAATGACATCAGCCTCTGAGCATTTGGAGTTGCATTTGCTTTTTCTTTTTTTTCTTTTTTTTTTTTTTTTGGTGTCTTTCCTTTCTGTCAGCTGGAAATTCTTGTCAGATCAGTGTGCTTGTTGCAAAATGTCCCGTACGCCCTTCAGATTTGCTAGGAAAACAAAGACCAAGCTTGCTAGAATTGTATGTAAAATACAGGTAACTAGGCTTGGAAGGAGAGGCTGAAACATTCTCCCTTGGGTAAAGTGAATAACCTTCAGAACATGGACACTGTGACAGCTACTTGGCTGCTTGTGGACTCTTTGTTTAGGTTGTATTCCAGATAGCTGAGGTCACTGGACAATGGCCCCCGAACAAGGAAAATGTTACTGTACGTTCTCTCTTTATGGTACACACAAAGCTACAGAGAGTGCTTCACGACGGACAAACCACAGCTTTAAAATGCAGCTTTGACTTCTTCTTCAAACTGGCATCTACTTGGCAGCCTCTCGTGTAGCTCCTCCTTGTTTTGTTCCAAAATAGCCGTAAAGACAATGAGAAAACCTGAACATTCACACTAGTGCCAAAAAACGAAACTGATGATGACCCAACGCTGGGATCTGGGAGCAATCTCTAGTAATTAAAGGCAGATGGTGGTGGAATAAGCAAAACCTGTTCAGGTTTTACCTCAGGACACAGCTCTTTGTCTGATGAGCAGAAAGGTCCTGAAAAAAGAGAGGAGGACAGAGTGACAGGGACCAGAGAACAAATAAGCAGGAAGTGAGTGGGGACAGTGGGGACAATCCCTCCTCCAGAGACGGGAAGTTTCAGAACTGGTAGGGACCAGAAGGACGGTAGTACAGCAAAGATCTCACCTTGTATTTCTTTCTTTTTCTTTTTTTTTTTTTTTTGAGATGGAGTCACGCCCTGTCTGTCATCCAGGCTGGAGTGCAATGGCATGATCTCGGCTCACTGCAACCTTCGCCTCCTGGACTCAAGCAATTCTCCTGCCCCAGCCTCCCAAGTAGCTAGTACTACAGGCACACGCCAGCTCGTCCACCTAATTTTTTGTATCTTTAGTAGAGACAGGGTTTCACCAAGTTGGCCAGGCTGGTCTCGAACTCCTGACCTCATGATCTGCCCGCCTCGACTTCCCAAAGTGCTGGGATTACAGGCGTGAACCACTGTGCCCAGCCTCACCTTGTATTTCTCTCTAAATCATTGCAGAGAATCAGAAAATCAGGCAATGCAGAGAAGGGAAGAGCACTACCTCCACAGAGCAGAAGGAAATCCAGGGAAAGGCTGGTAGAAACAAGGAGCTGAAGACGGAGCTCTGCACCTTCCTGGCCATCCTCCTTAAATCTGAGATGGGAATCCAGCCATTGCGTCAGTACGTGGATCTGCAATTTTTTTCTTCTTCAAAGGACCAAACAGTGAATACTTTAGGCATAGAGGACCATACAGTTGCTGTTGCAACTATTCATCTTTGTCATTTTATGTATGGCTTAAAAACAGCCATACATAATAGGTGTACATGCCAAATGGGCATGGCAGACTAAAAAGAGTAAAATGACACAGCCTCTATGAACTAGCACAAGAAAGGCAGTAAGGGAGATGAAGCTGAGCTGAAACAAAAAGGATGTGTGAAAGAAAAAGTTGGAAAAAGATGAAATCCCTGTAGCACAATTAAAATCCCCTTCAGAAGGGCTGGGTGTGGTCTCACACCTGTAATCCCAGCACTTGGGAGGCCGAGGCAGGAAGATCACTTGAGGCTAGGAGTTCAAGACCAGCC